TTAAGTTGCTGCTAATGTCTCCTCCTGTCATAATTTAACCTGCCGGAATGTTACATTATAAACAATGTAAAATAACATCTATATGACAACATCACCATGAGATGTATTACATTAATGTTGGACGCTTACTGTTCCGGGTGGTTTATCCTTCCTCATAACCGGTTCAACATTAAATAATATTAAATGGCCAGATAATAATTATAAAGTAGTAGAACCGGAAACAAGGTACTTCTCAATAATTTTGTGAGATCGCTGTACCTGTAGCTCAATGCTCAAAGATAAGGCTCAAAGATATCTCTAAATCTAGAGAATTTATAGCTCTCAGCTCCAGACGCGTCCTGAATGGTTCGGTTTTTATTTCGAGAGGAGTAGGTTTATTTAATATATTTGTTTACAGATAATTCTGTTGATCATAAGAAAGCAATTTTTTAGTTCATTCTAGTCCACAGACTATTGTTTTAAAGATTAATTATTAATATTATTCGTGGGTGAATTTAATTTTGGTAACGTGGCAGTGTAACTCATTTTCTAGTAGAGATTCCACAAACACAATTTTTTAGTCGATTTAACTAAGGTATTTGATAATAATTATGTTTAATATTTATTTAGTATATAATAGCAACTCTTTTCTTGCATATTATTTTAAGGGTTAATAAATGAGGTCAGAAATTTCCAACATAATTCTGGGTGGAAGAAACAAAGGTCGCAGTCCACTGTTTACGACTGGCAAACACATCACTGCTCCTTCAGAATTACTATAATATTGTTTTAGTTTGAATTTCCACTCTTGTGTGGCAGTTCTTACAGAACAGATTTTCCAGTACTGGACATTGCAGGTGTTAAGAGGTCTTTGGGAGACTTCATTTCCTGCTAGGTCCAAAGGAACTAGTTTTCTTACTGTCTTGGAACTAGTGATGTCTCTGAACTTTACTTTCACTCTTCTCAAGACACCCTGGCTGTCTGGATTTACAGAGACTATATGGCCTAGAGGCCACTCTGAGTGTGGACCATCACTGTCCACCAGAACAACATTGCCAGATTGTGATTGAATTCTATTGTAAGGATTGTGGGTCCCATGGTGATACTCCCTCAGAATTGTTAGGTACTCTCGGGTCCAAACTTCATTCCACCGACTAATTACTTTGGACAGATGTTTGTAGCTATGAACCAGGTCATTCTCTCTGACATCCCAGTTCCTCTTCAGTGAGAGACACTATAGGAGTTAGAGGTCCTCCATACATCAGATGAAACGGACTGAATGGCTCGTGCTGCGAGTTATCATTAGAGAGGAAGATCAGTGGGCGGTTATTGACCCAAGATTAAATTTCCGTGACAATGGTGTAACTCCTGGAGATCAATTTTTTGGTGGTGTAAAGTTTTCTTAGGACAGCATTCACTGTCTCCGCCATCCACTCCTAGAAGCCGCCGTGCCATGGTGCTCTGGGAGGTATAAATTTCAAGTGGCACTGCTGTTAGTTCAGGGCAGTGCATTCAACTGGGTGGTTCCAGACCTCCCTCAGGCATGCTTCCCCTGCCACCAAGTTGTAGCCGTGTCTGATATCATCAACTTGGGGCAGGATCGATGGGCAGCAAACCTGCAAAAGGCCTGGACGAATGCTGCTGCACTTATATCAGGAATCACTTCTAAGTGCACTCCTCTTGTAGTGGCACAGGTAAATAGGCAAATGTATGCCTTGACAGGGATTTTGCACCTAGTGCCTGTCAGTTATGGCTCCTGTGTAGTCTACACCAGTGGTCTCAAAAGGAGATGGGTGGATAACTCGTTCCCTTGGGAGTGGTGGAGGTCCTGGGTAAGGACACACCAGAGCAATGTGCCTCTGGCAGACTACACAGGATTTAAGAATTGACTTCCCAGTCTGGCGACTGATGCAGCCAGTACTGTTGTCTTAATGTGGTGAGGGGTGTCTAGTACTCCACTATGTAGGGTGCAGCGTCTGCGTACATATAATACAATCAACCTGCTTACCCAGTGGTCGCGGGGGGAGACAATACGAATGTTTTACTTCTAAGTCAACATTTGCGTGTTGCATGTGTCCCTTGCAATGCAATTTTGTTTATTGTCTGAGTCAATCCAGAGACCCAGATCATTATTGGTTTTAAAAGGAAGGTTTTGAAATTCCTTCCCGTAGGTTGAGGTTTGGGCTTGCTTTACCCATTATTTTAGAGCACTAGGGAATTCGTGTTTGATTTCTTTTTTATTTAAGGAGTCAAACACCTTTTGAGTGACTGATAATTTGTTGAGTACAGAGTACTGAGTTGGATCAATACAACCCCTGCAGGCTGTATTGTTCCTGTGGTCACCCCTACAGGTTGTATTGTTCCTGTGGTCACCCCTGCAGGCTGTATTGTTCCTGTGGTCACCCCTGCAGGCTGTATTGTTCCTGTGGTCACCCCTGCAGGCTGTATTGTTCCTGTGGTCACCCCTGCAGGCTGTATTGTTCCTGTGGTCACCCCTGCAGGCTGTATTGTTCCTGTGGTCACCCCTGCAGGTTGTATTGCTCCTGTGGTCACCCCTGCAGGCTGTATTGTTCCTGTGGTCACCCCTGCAGGCTGTATTGTTCCTGTGGTCACCCCTGCAGGCTGTATTGTTCCTGTGGTCACCCCTGCAGGCTGTATTGTTCCTGTGGTCACCCCTGCAGGTTGTATTGTTCTTGTGGTCACCCCTGCAGGCTGTATTGCTCCTGTGGTCACCCCTGCAGGTTGTATTGTTCCTGTGGTCACCCCTGCAGGCTGTATTGCTCCTGTGGTCACCCCTGCAGGCTGTATTGCTCCTGTGGTCACCCCTGCAGGTTGTATTGTTCCTGTGGTCACCCCTGCAGGCTGTATTGCTCCTGTGGTCACCCCTGCAGGCTGTATTGTTCCTGTGGTCACCCCTGCAGGCTGTATTGTTCCTGTGGTCACCCCTGCAGGTTGTATTGTTCCTGTGGTCACCCCTGCAGGCTGTATTGCTCCTGTGGTCACCCCTGCAGGTTGTATTGTTCCTGTGGTCACCCCTGCAGGCTGTATTGTTCCTGTAGTCACCCCTGCAGGCTGTATTGTTCCTGTGGTCACCCCTGCAGGCTGTATTGTTCCTGTGGTCACCCCTGCAGGCTGTATTGTTCCTGTGGTCACCCCTGCAGGCTGTATTGCTCCTGTGGTCACCCCTGCAGGCTGTATTGCTCCTGTGGTCACCCCTGCAGGCTGTATTGCTCCTGTGGTCACCCCTGCAGGCTGTATTGCTCCTGTGGTCACCCCTGCAGGCTGTATTGCTCCTGTGGTCACCCCTGCAGGCTGTATTGCTCCTGTGGTCACCCCTGCAGGCTGTATTGCTCCTGTGGTCACCCCTGCAGGCTGTATTGCTCCTGTGGTCACCCCTGCAGGTTGTATTGTTCCTGTGGTCACCCCTGCAGGCTGTATTGCTCCTGTGGTCACCCCTGCAGGCTGTATTGCTCCTGTGGTCACCCCTGCAGGCTGTATTGCTCCTGTGGTCACCCCTGCAGGCTGTATTGCTCCTGTGGTCACCCCTGCAGGTTGTATTGCTCCTGTGGTCACCCCTGCAGGTTGTATTGTTCCTGTGGTCACCCCTGCAGGTTGTATTGCTCCTGTGGTCACACCTGCAGGCTGTATTGCTCCTGTGGTCACCCCTGCAGGCTGTATTGCTCCTGTGGTCACACCTGCAGGCTGTATTGCTCCTGTGGTCACCCCTGCAGGCTGTATTGCTCCTGTGGTCACACCTGCAGGCTGTATTGCTCCTGTGGTCACCCCTGCAGGCTGTATTGCTCCTGTGGTCACCCCTGCAGGCTGTATTGCTCCTGTGGTCACCCTGCAGGCTGTATTGTTCCTGTGGTCACCCCTGCAGGCTGTATTGCTCCTGTGGTCACACCTGCAGGCTGTATTGTCCTGTGGTCACCCTCCTGTGGTCACACCTGCAGGCTGTATTGCTCCTGTGGTCACCCCTGCAGGCTGTATTGCTCCTGTGGTCACCCCTGCAGGCTGTATTGCTCCTGTGGTCACCCCTGCTGGCTGTATTGCTCCTGTGGTCACACCTGCAGGTTGTATTGCTCCTGTGGTCACACCTGCAGGTTGTATTGCTCCTGTGGTCACACCTGCAGGCTGTATTGCTCCTGTGGTCACCCCTGCAGGCTGTATTGCTCCTGTGGTCACCCCTGCAGGCTGTATTGCTCCTGTGGTCACCCCTGCAGGTTGTATTGCTCCTGTGGTCACCCCTGCAGGCTGTATTGCTCCTGTGGTCACCCCTGCAGGCTGTATTGCTCCTGTGGTCACCCCTGCAGGTTGTATTGCTCCTGTGGTCACCCCTGCAGGCTGTATTGCTCCTGTGGTCACCCCTGCAGGCTGTATTGCTCCTGTGGTCACACCTGCAGGCTGTATTGCTCCTGTGGTCACCCCTGCAGGTTGTATTGCTCCTGTGGTCACCCCTGCAGGTTGTATTGCTCCTGTGGTCACCCCTGCAGGCTGTATTGCTCCTGTGGTCACCCCTGCTGGCTGTATTGCTCCTGTGGTCACACCTGCAGGCTGTATTGCTCCTGTGGTCACCCCTGCAGGTTGTATTGCTCCTGTGGTCACCCCTGCAGGCTGTATTGCTCCTGTGGTCACCCCTGCTGGCTGTATTGCTCCTGTGGTCACCCCTGCAGGTTGTATTGCTCCTGTGGTCACCCCTGCAGGTTGTATTGTTTCTCTTATCTCGTTACAAACTGCGCTTTACAAACGCATGCGTAAGTAGCAGAAAACAAAATATAAACAATATGTTAAATACAGTACAGGAACATATAATAATAAGAACAATAAAAACATATTTCTAAGAAATACATAATATTGTCGGTCTGAGATGGAGACTATGTAAGCACACGAAGGGTGTGTCCTGCCTTCTCTCTCACTCTGTAGTTCATCATATACATTTCTTAATTGTGCCTAAATAATTTACAAGACATAAGTAACGTGCATATTTAACTTACAGAAAATCAATACAGTTTTCGATGTGACGGGAATGACTGAGCAAAGTTACTGCAACAACGTGCAATACAAGTTTTGAAATTAACGGAAAATACTGCAGTTATATTTCACGACAATTCCTTCCACTCATTGACAGTAAAATCTATTGCCACGATTTCCAACAAGTTGTGTGTTAATTTACAAAGGTACAAAAATCACCGTAATATGCAAATGAATAACAGATAACCAACAAAAATATAAACATAACATTTCAAGAAATTCTTCATCGTGTTGGCGGGAAAAGACTGCGGACCTGGCGGCGTCAACCCACGAGCAGCGTCACTATGGGGGGGCCACCCTGAGGCGCCTGTGGGCACGCCCCTGGGGAAGGAGAGGTTCTGAGGGGCGTAACGAGGGTGGACTCCCATCCCAGGGAGCGTCAGGAGAAAGGGAAGAGACGGAAGAGGAAGGTGGTAGAGCCTCCCCGCCTGCTGGAGACGCCGACGATGACCCAACTGACAATATGACGACGGAGTGGCAGCAGATCAGAGAACAGCTGCTCACCCCGAACACCAACCGACTCAGGGTACGTAACATCGGCTAAACAATTATGTAAACATCTTTACATACATTTTTTAACAATAAAAATAACAACATATAATCAATAACATTTATATAACAATAATAATGAGTAAATCTACTGGAGCTCGTAGGTGACTCGAACCAATGGTTATGTGGACCAGTTGATTGATACATCACCTTAGTGTGATTTCTCTGTGTAAGTAATAACTTTTAATTATAATAGTTATTATTATTGCTACTTTTATTGTCTTTTTATTATCGATGTTAGTATTTTCATATATCTTTACAATTTTAATTGTTTTACTTGTGTTATCATGCTGCTTTAATCACTGTATATGTATGTGTGTGTGAAAATGTGTGTGTTTGTATGTGCGCCAGGCTGTGCCCGTCTGTATTCAGCATTTCTGTTTGCTTATCTGCCTCTGTATATCTGTCTGCCTGTCAATGTGGGTCTTGTCTGGATGTCTGTTTGTCTGCTTCCGTTTACCAGACGGTTCTCTGCCTGCCGCTGACAGACACCGTCTATAATCGCTGGTGAGCCAGTAAATCTGTAAACAGCGCGAGCAAACTGACCAACACAACATCTAAGGTGCGTGCGTGTTGGGCTCGGCCATGTGCACACGACACACACACACACACGCCAGGCCGCACACACACAAACACACACACATACATACGGTCGCCTTAGAACAGTGAGTCACGTCGCTACACCTAGGTATTTACTCAGTTGTTAAAACACTACGTACAGAGTGGTTTGTGTGTGTATTCACCTAGTTGTGCTTGCGGGGGTTGAGCTCTGATCTTTCGGCCCGCCTTTCAACTGCCAATCAATTAACTGTTACTAACTACTATTTTTTTTCACATACATACATACCCTTCAGGAAGCAGTTCATAACAGCTGTCTAACTCCCAGGTACCTATTTACTGCTAGGTAACAGCTGCATCAGGGCGAAAGAAACTCTGCCCATTGTTTCTCGCCGGCGCCGGGAATCGAACCCGGGTCACAGGATTACGTGTACAGCGTGCTGTCCACACAGCCACCGCTGTGTAGACAGCGTGCGCCCACACACCGGTGTGTGTACTCGCCTGTTTGTGCTTGCAAGATCGAGCATTGACTCTTGAATCCCGCCTTCCGAGTCATCGGTTGTTTGCAGCAATGACTCCTGTCCCATTTCCCTATCATATCTAGTTTTAAAAGTATGAATAGAGTTTGCTTCCACAACCTGCTCCTTAAGTGCATTCCATTTTTCCACTACTCTTACGCTAAAAGAAAACTTCCTAACATCTCTGTGACTCATCTGAGTTTCCAGCTTCCACCCATGTCCCCTCGTTCTGTTACAATTCCGTGTGAACATTTCGTCTATGTCCACTCTGTCAATCACCCAGAGTATTTTATACGTTCCTATCATATCCCCCCCTCCCTTCTTTTTTGTAGTGTCGTAAGGCTCAGTTCCTTCAGGCGTCCCCTCATAAGGCTGGGACGAGTCTTGTTGCAAACTTCTAAACCTTTTCCAGTTTCCTTATGTGTTTCTTCAGGTGGGGACTCCATGATGACGCGGCAAACTCTAAGATTGGCCTCACGTAGGCAGTGTAAAGCGCCCTAAATGCCTCCTTACTTAGGTTTCTGAATGATGTTCTAACTTTTGCCAGTGTAGAGTACGCTGCTGTCGTTATCCTATTTATATGTGCCTCAGGAGATAGATTAGGTGTACGTCCACGTCCAGGTCTCTTTCTCGAGTTGTCACAGTTAGGCAGTTCCCCTTCATTGTGTACTGTCCTTTTGGTCGCCTATCACCTAGTCCCATTTCCATAACTTTACACTTCCTCGTGTTGAACTCCAGTAGCCATTTCTCTGACCATCTCTGCAACCTGTTCAAGTCCTCTTGGAGGATCCTGCAATCCTCATCTGTCACAACTCTTTTCATCAACTTTGCGTCATCCGCGAACATCGACATGTAGGATTCTACTTCTGTAAACATGTCATTAACGTATATTAAAAATAAAATTGGTCCCAGCACCGATCCTTGAGGTACTCCACTCGTTACTGTTCGCCAGTCCGAATTCTCGCCCCTTACCGTTACTCTCTGGCTCCTTCTTGTTAGGTAGTGTATGTGTGTGCACAACTACTTACCTAGTTGTGCATGCAGGGGTTGAGCTCTGGCTCTTTGGTTCCGCCTGTCAACTGTCAATCAACTAATGTACAGATTCCTGAGCCTACTAGGCTCTATCATATCTGCACTTGAAACTGTGTATGGAGTCAGCCTCCACCACATCACTGCCTAATGCATTCCATTTGTCTACTACTCTGACACTGAAAAAATTCTTTCTAATGTCTCTATGACTCATTTGGGTAGTAAGTTTCCACCTGTGTCCCCTTGTTCGTGTCCCACCTGTGCTGAAGAGTTTGTCTTTGTCCACCCTGTCAATTCCCCTGAGAATTTTGTAGGTGGTTATCATGTCTCCTCTTACTCTTCAGTTTTCCAGGGATGTGAGGTTCAGCTCCTTTAGCCTTTCCTCGTAGCTCATACCTCTCAGTTCCGGGACGAGTCTGGTGGCATACCGCTGAATCTTCTCTAACTGTGTCTTGTATTTAACTAGATATGGACTCCAGGCAGGAGCTGCATATTCCAGGGTTGGTCTGACATAAGTGGTATACAGGGTCCTGAACGATTCCTTACACAAGTTTCTAAGGACAGTTTTTATGTTGGCCAGTCTAGCATATGCCGCTGATGATATCCTTTTGATGTGGGCCTCTGGGGACAGATTCGGTGTGATATCGACCCCCAGATCTTTCTCTCTATTTGACTCTTGCAGGATTTCACCTCCCAGATGGTACCTTGCGTTCAGCCTTCTGCTCCCTTCGTCTAATTTCATTACTTTACACTTCCCTGAGTTGAACTTTAGTAGCCATTTTCTAGACCATTCCTCCAGTTTGTCCAGGTTATCCTGTAGTCTATGTCTATCTTCATCTGTTTTTATTCTTCTCATAATTTTTGCATCATCAGCAAACATTGAGCGGAATGAGTCTATACCCTCTGGAAGATCATTTACATATATTAGAAACAGGATGGGCCCAAGTACAGAGCCCTGTGGGACTCCGCTGGTGACATCTCGCCACTCTGATATCTCCCCCTCACAGTTACTCGCTGTTTCCTGTTGCTTAGATACTCCCTTATCCACTGGAGCACCTTACCTTTTATTCCTGCCTGTTGCTCCAACTTTTGTAACAGCCTTTTATGGGGTACTGTGTCAAAGACTTTCTTACAGTCCAAGAAAATGCAGTCTGCCCACCCTTCTCTTTCTTGCCTAATTTTTGTTGCTTAGTCATAGAATTCTATTAAGCCTGTGAGGCACGATTTACCACTTCTGAACCCATGCTGGTGGTGCGTTACAAATCAATTTCCCTCCAGATGCTCTACGAGCCTTTTCCTCACGATTTTCTCCAATACCTTGTATGGTACACAAGTTAGGGAAACTGGCCTATAGTTCAGTGCTTCTTGCCTGTCACCCTTTTTGTATATTGGGACTACATTAGCTGTCTTCCAACTTTCCGATAGGTCTTCTGTTTCCAGTGACCTGTTATCCACCATAGAGAGTGGCACACTTAGTGCCTCTGCACCTTCTTTTAGTATCCATGGTGAGATTCTATCAGGCCCAACAGCCTTTGTCACATTCAGTTCCAACAGATTCTTGTTGACCTCATCACTGGTGAGGTCAAATTGTTCCAAGGTTGCTTGGTTTGCCTCATTTAGTGCAGGGGCTTCTCCTTGTTCATATTTTCCCCTTCGGTAATTTTGCATTTTCCCTTCCGATCCCTTCCTTGGATAAGTTATCCCTACCTCGTAGGGAGGCCTCGTAGCCTGGTGGATAGCGCGCAGGATTCGTAATTCTGTGGCGCGGGTTCGATTCCCGCACGAGGCAGAAACAAATGGGCAAAGTTTCTTTCACCCTGAATGCCCCTGTTACCTAGCAGTAAATAGGTACCTGGGAGTTAGTCAGCTGTCACGGGCTGCTTCCTGGGGGTGGAGGAATGGTCGAGGACCGGGCCACGGGGACACTAAAGCCCCGAAATCATCTCAAGATAACCTCAAGATATACCTCCACCAAATACTCAAATATCAATACACTGTGGTCACTTGTTCCTATGGAAGCTTCAAATTTGACTTCCTTAATATCTGATTCATTCAAGGTGAATATCAGGTCGTCTCTAGCTGGTTCATCATTGCCTCTCACTCTTGTGGGTTCTCTGACATGCTGGCTCAGAAAGTTCCTTGTTGCACTTCCAAGAGTTTAGCTCTCTATGTATCTGCACCTCCATGTGGGTCCCCATTCTCCCAGTCTATCTTTCCATGGTTGAAATCACCCATGATTAAGAGTCTTGAGCCACTCCTGCAGGCAACTGAAGCTGCTCTCTCTATTATATTAATGGTTGTCATGTTGTTCCTATCAAACTCCTGTCTGGGTCTTCTGTTGTTTAGGGGAGGGTTGTAAATGACCGCAACTATTACGCAACAACTGTGTGTGTGTACTCACCTATATGTACTCACCTATATGTGCTTGCAGGATCGAGCATTGACTCTTGGATCCCGCCTTTCTAGCTATCGGTTGTTTACAGCAATGACTCCTGTCCCATTTCCCTATCATACCTAGTTTTAAAAGTATGAATAGTATTTGCTTCCACAACCTGTTCCCCAAGTGCATTCCATTTTTCTACTACTCTCACGCTAAAAGAAAACTTCCTAACATCTCTGTGACTCATCTGAGTTTCCAGTTTCCACCCATGTCCCCTCGTTCTGTTATTATTACGTGTGAACATTTCATCTATTTCCACTTTGTCAATTCCCCTGAGTATTTTATATGTCCCTATCATATCTCCTCTCTCCCTTCTTTTCTCTAGTGTCGTAAGGTTCAGTTCCTTCAGCCGCTCTTCATATCCCATCCCTCGTAGCTCTGGGACAAGCCTCGTCGCAAACCTCTGAACCTTCTCCAGTTTCTTTATGTGTT